GAGGAGGGGCAGGCGTGGAAGAAGTCCCTGGCTACTTCCCTTTGGCCATGTTCCCACCTCTTGCCTCCCTTGACACCCAGGGCTCAGAATAGCAGACATTAAAAAGCACAGAGAAATCAGAATCTAAAGACCAAGCTATCTTCAGGATCCATAGGTCTACAGGGCTCCCAACAGCCACTTCCAACTCTACCTCCTCCAGTCAACGATGAGCTGACACTTTTGCTTTGGCAATTAGAAGTCAGGAGAGGGACAGCTGAGTGCAGCACCATACTTAGACAATAGCAGTGTTCAGTGAAGCATGTATTCACGAAACCCCCAAACAGCAGGTCAGGGAGGAGGGAAAAATGGCAGAAGGTAGAAAACGGCCTTCTCCTAGAAATGGAGCCAAAGCCAGGTACATCCAAAGCAGGCCTGGAGCTCAATCTTTACACAGGGCACCCTTCCCTCCCACTGTTATGAGGCTGGGTGATGGTTCATTGCCTCAGTTTCCACACTCAGGAGCTTGAGCAGTTAATAGTCACCAGTGCTCCAATGCCACACACACACACACACACACACACACACACACACACACACACACACACACACCCCACAGAGCATCCTAGTAAAAAGGGATATATCTGGGTCTGGCCAGGATTGTTTGTTGGTTTGTTTGTTTGGACAGGCTCTTGTGTAGCCCAGGCTGGCTTCACACTGGCTATGTAGTTGAGAATCACCTTGACTTTTGACCTTTCTGCCCCTCTACCTCCTGAGTGCTGGTATTACAGAGTTTTGGGTGCTGAAGATTGAATCCAGGGCTTTGTGTATGCTAAGCAAGCACTCTACCAATTAGGCTACATCCGTATTCCTTGTTTTCTGTTTTGTTATTGGTGGTGGTGGTGGTGGTCGTGGTCATTTTGAGAGAGATTATCACTAAGCAGCAGCAGCCTAGGCTGATCCCAAACTCACAATCCTCCAGAGAATGGGAATTACAGGTGTGCACCATCCTATTCTGCTGGCCCCAGTTTCTTTATTTTAATTTATTTTTATTTTATGTGTATGAGTGTATTGCCTGCATGTATGTTAGTACACCGTGTCATGCAGTACCCATGCAGGACAGAAGAGGATGTAAGAACCCCTGGAACTGGAATTACAGTTGTTAGCTGCCATGTGGGTGCTGGGATTTGAACCTGGGTCTTCTGCAAAAAACAATCAGTGCTCTTAACCACTTCAACCCACCATTTCACTTAAGGGACAATAGGCAAGTGACTTCCTCCCTCATAGTGAAATCCTCACAATGATGGAGGTTTCAAAAAGTGGCACTAGCCATCCCTCACCTCTGAGGCTGTTGCTTAGGACAATGTTCTATGTTCTCTTGCTGCCAGATGCCAGCTTTATGCCATTACTTCACCTTTTAAACTCTGACTTTTACAATAATCAGATTTTACTTTAAAAGAGGATAGAGTGAGCAGACAGTAAGATTTCCTCCAGTCCTGGGAATGCCCCTAAAAATACCTTGTCTGCTTTGGACTCTGACCCAAACAAACAACCCCCCCAAAAACCTCATCTGTTTGGGGGAACAGCATGGCAGACACAGGCTCTAGGGGACCAGAGCATCAAGCTGAGAATATTTTTAGATAAAGGTTTAGGGTTCTGGAGATAGGTAGCTGTGGTCCACTGGAGTACAGGAAGGAAGGAATTAAAGGCTGGGTGAGGATTTGGGGAGGAGAAGCCAACAAGCCCTCATTCCAGCCATACGGTCCTCCCTTTAATGCCCATGTGTGACCTAATCCCTTAAATGCTTCTGGGTCCTAACCCCAAGCTCTTGGAGCAGGTTGGATGAGTTACCAACTTTGCCTCAACAAATCTATTTCAAGGTCTGGGGATGTAGGTCAGTTGGAAAGTGTTTGTCTAGCATGCGTGAGACTAGGAGAATAAAAAATTCCAGAAAGCATTCATTTCCACTTTATCTTGCCTTCTAGAGTCTAATATAACTCTGAAAGTGTCCAAATTATAGCTTGTACATGTGGCTCTGTGAGTTGCAGCTCTCCCAGGTTGCATGGTAGTTCAGAGCAACTGCCTCCATCTGCACAGTGTGGTTGAACCCTCCCAACAGTCCTCAGTCTACCAACACTGGTAGAATTCGCTTCTCCCCTTCACTAGCTGTTGCCTAGCTAAGCCTGACAGGACAGAATGGAAACGCCAAACTACTAGCTTTTATTTGTGGTCACACAAGGGAGTCCCCCGACCCAGGAACAAGGTGGCCAGTTGTCCTAATCACATTATTGGGGCCTCCATACTTTTGGTACCTTATTTTACAGTGTCCCCACTGCAACATAATGATTTCCCACATCTGTAGTGGAGAATGCAGAATCCCCCCTCCTCTTTCCCTCTAAAAAACTTGTATCAGTATCAGCCAGATATGGTGGAACACAACTTTAATCCAGCACTTGAGAGGCAGGGGCAGGAGGAGTTCTGTGAGTTTGAGGCCAGCTGGGTCTAAATAAATAAACTGAGTCAGTCTCTCTCTCTCTCTCTCTCTCTCTCTCTCTCTCTCTCTCCCCCCCCCGCCTATCACTCTGTGTCTGTTTCCCTCTCTCTGTGTCTGTCTCTCTGTGTCTGTCTCTCTGTGTCGATCTCTCTGTCTCTCTCAGTCTCTGAGCTGGCTCTCTCTCTCCTCGCTCCTCTCTCTCTCTCTCTCTCTCTCTCTCTCTCTCTCTCTCTCTCTTTCTCTCTCTCTCTCCACTCACCAAAGCCAAGCATCCTGCCTCCTTATCCTGACTTTTCCCATAGACACTGCTGCCCCCAGTCCTGCAAAGACAGGTGGCTATTTTTACCCCATTCACTTCTCAGACCCTGGACCTTTGCAGATCTGGGAGGCGAGGCCTCAGTTTTTCTTGAGCACTGGAGGTCATACCCTCTCACCCCCACCTGGGACATCTGTGCTGCAGCTCAGGGAAGTTCTGCAACCCTGAGTCCCAACCCATGTACTGAAAGCCATTCCTTACCTCTGCACTCCCCCCAGGGTAGGGACCATTTTAGTTCTTAGTTGTTTCTTTCTGATGTGGGTTGGGGGCACAACCTCTTTCTACCACGAAGTGGCCCTGGCTTGATACAAAGCCATCTTGTGAATGTTGTCTTTCAGTTCCGGTGCCTACACACACACACACACACACACACACACACACACACACAAACACACTACAGATAGTGATGTCTGCCAAATGCTGGAGAGGAAAGGAGCAGAACAGAATGCCACTGGCCTCTGCAAAGAGGTCTTCCCCAACCCAATACCCATCCTTTCCTCTCAAGACTCCCCCACCTTTGGCAAAGGGAGGATTCCTCCATGCTGAGAACTTCCCCAGGCTCCATAGCCTGAGACATTTAAAATGAGAAAGTCACCTACCAAACTGTTTGTGGCAAGCCTCTGTCACACTAGGTTCTGAAGGAGAGAGCTGGCTTGCTATCCTGGACCCTATCCTGTTCTCTTTCCCTAGGTGCCATTCCCCACCTCAGACATCACAAAAAACATCTCACAGCCACATACACACCCCAACTTGCCTCCTCTAAGCAGTTACATTAAGTTGAAACAGCTCTAAGGAAACATTTTCTTCTACTAGACAGGATCATGTGCCCCCCAGACTGGCTGGCCTCAAACTTTCAATCCTCCAGCCCTGGCCTCTGGAATGCTGGGATCGCAGGTATGAAAACTGTGAAAACCAAGGTCTTTTGAGAGAAATCCCTTAGAGAAACCAAGCCAAGGACTTCACTGCACATGGACACTGGGAACCAGCTTGACCAAGCCCCGAGGCAGCCAAGTCACTACAGCTCCCTGACCCGGGGGTCTTACAGGTAGCAGACCTGGGAAACCCAGCTTTCCTTTTCTTTCCTTCCCTTCAGTTTTGTAAACTAACCCCTAACAGCCTTCTCGATCCTTCTAGGTGTGGGAGCATCAACCAGGCCCAACAAGCCCTGGGAGAAACCAGCAGGAGAGCAGTCAGGGCTCCGGACAGGGAAGAGCACCAGGCCCTCAGCTCAGACTTACTCCTAATGGGGTCGGGGTGGGGAGGGCAGAGGCAAAACAACACGGAGATTCTCAGCTGCTTTGGGAGTTAGGATACAAAAAAGTAGGTTTGTATTCTGGCCAGAGGAATGAGGAGCGGTGCAAACCACCCGGGTGGAGCCCGGGGCGAGTCAGCCTCTTCCTGCTCTCACCTCCCGGGCACGGATATCGCCCCCGCAGACATGCGGGGTGATTCACCTCACCCAGATCGCCACCTCCACCAGCCCCTCTTGTGCTCCAAACGCCCACCCCTACCCACCCCACCCGCTTCCAGGAGGCCGAGGGCACCAGCGCTGCGCTGGATAGAGTGTCTCCATGGGCCTGAAAGCTCCTGGGGGCCAGGGACAGATCGCAACAAGGGAACGCGCGTGGGTAGTGGAGGCTGGTGCGGGGGCGTGGGGTCGACTGAGGGGGGCTGACGGTCGTGTCCGTTGCCTGGCACAGCCCCTGCTGATGCGTGCCTGAGCCTTGAATCACCCGCTATATCGGGCCCGCAGCGCCGGAGGCCCCAGGGCCGGAACCCGCCACCGACCAGTGTCCACTTACAGAGGGGCCCCAAGGACCGCCAAAGGATCTCGGCTAGTCCCCCCAAAACTCTCTCCACCTAGGAAGACAGAGACAAGCTGGGAGGAGCCAGCGTCCCGGAGTCCAACCCTCTAACTTTTCCGCTAAGAGTTAGCGCAGGGAGGGGCTGGGTGGGGAGGCGCAGGGTCCAGAACGCGCCCCTCGATGCACCCCAAGAGTCCGCCGCTCCCCGAACCCCACCCGAGCCCTGCTTGCTGGAGGAGGGTGAAGTCCCTGACCACTCCCGCGGGGCCAGGCTGGCAGAGAGGAGCCCTGCAGCCAGGTCTCCCCAGCCGGAGCCCAGGCCGGGGTACTAGGGCTGGGTGGTCAAGCTCTCCCGGGGGACCAGAGCTGGGTGCTCAAGCTCTGGGCGCGGTCCGCCCTGCGGCCTCACCTGGTAGATCATGACTTTAAAGTTGCGGCGCCGCAGCAGCTCCGCCTCGTTGACCTCCAGCTTCTTGATCTGGCCGGCCTGGCGCTCCAGGCTGCCGCGCACCGTCTTCACGTTGACGCTGACCTTGCGCACCTTCTCCAGCAACTTGCTCACCGTGTTACTCGTGGTGGCATGCGCTTTGCCCAGCTTGCTCAGCTCGCCCTGGATGCTTTGCACGGCGCCCTCCATCTCTGCCTGTCGCTCCTCCAACTGGGCTTGGGTCAGCTGGATCTGGTCGACGGCGCCGATGATTTTATCCAGAAGGCTCAGCACCAGCACGCCGTTTACCTGGTCCGACTTGATCAGCTCGTCAGAGCCGGCCCCCGACGGCTCCTCGATGGCGGGTGCCGCCACCGGACTAGGCTCGGAGCCCTCGGAGGCATCGGGGTACCCGGAAAACGGCCGCTCGACGATATGGAGTGTGACGTCCTCCATGGCTTCCCAGAGCCGTGCGGAGCCGGCCGAGTGGAGCTGGAGCGGGAGATGGGGAGAGAAGGAGGAGCGAGAGAGGGAAAGCGAGGCGCAGCCGAGAGCGGAGGAAACTCGAGCCACGTCCGTGCGCACCGGGACGCCAGCCAGAACTGTGGGGCGGGGGATCCTCCAGCTGCCTGGCTCCCAGGCCAAACTCGGAGTCTTGTTCCCCCATTGGCTGGCTCCACCCCAGAAAGGGAGGAACCTGGGCCGAAGGGGAGACCGACCAGGGAGGGGCAGCGAGGGGGACCCGAGAGCCGAGCGCCCCACCCTGCCCAGGATGGTTGGAATAGTTGGAGCGGGAGACTAGGGCCCCCCCTTAGCAGCGGAGGCGGTGGGAGCCGGACTGGGGCTGAGGAATGTGGGCTGGGGAAAGCAATCAGGTCCTAGGGCTGCGCTCTACTTTTCCTCTTTCTTTTTTCTCATCCACAAACCTACTCCAGCCCTTTAAGAACACGTTGGGATTTACGGGAATTAGGTGTAGGCAAATGTTGTATTTGCTTTCGCTTAGTATCCTTGTAGGAACGTTGCCCTATATTATCTTTTTCAAAGAGATCTGTGAGTCCCCCTTCGCTGTTCTGTACACTGAGTTACTTGCCACTGTTCCCAAAGCCTGCAGGGTGCTAGGAGTGACGTTAAAGGGGTTCCTTTTAGGATTCCCAGGACAGAGCAGGATTAAGGTGAGAAATGAACATAAAATAAAGCCTTTTAGTCACCTTTCTAAAATCACCTTTCCCTGTCTCCTCCAGCAGAAATGGACCTGATTCTGACTTCAGAGAGTGGAATTTAGTGTTCAGTCTTCTCTGAATCCCAGAGTCTAGGTAAGCATTCGGGGAGATCGTGGAATCCCATCTCCTTATCTGAGAGAGAAAGGAGGCCAAGAGAAAGCAGGTGGCTCGCCAGGGTTCACTCCAGGCTACCCAGGGCATTTGCACTAAGCCCTAAATCTCTGGATTCCACAAGCACCCAGAGCCCTTCACTGGAACAGGAAGCGGCAACCACCGGCCATCCACTACTGGCCTAAGGATTAACTGAAACAAAGTTTCCTTAAAGGTGGATACGAAGAATGAGGCCTTTCTGAGTCGGCAGAAGAGTCTTTAGCACAGAGGTCCAGAGACAGAGGCTGCCCCTCCTCCCTCCTCTGAACCTCAGCACGAGTTCCTGGAGCCGCCCAACTCCCTTTCTCACAGAAATGCCCCAAACCTTTTCCCTGCTTAGGAAACCAGGCTTGGGGTTCCCCAGCTGGATGGACTCGGCAAAAGGTCACTTCTAGCCCGTTATTCACTATCATTAAGAAGAGTGAAAAACAGCTCTGTGGGGACCCAAGTGTCATTAATCCAGTCAACCCACCAACCTGTCAAGGAGCAGAACTCCATGTAGCATATAGAGCTTTCCTGACAATTGAATAAAATATTCCTCCCAACACGCCAACAGCTGTTTCCTCAGAAACAACAGGATTTCTCATTTGAGGTTCAAGAAAAGTGAACTACTGCATAAAAGTGTGTATTATATAACCACTACAACTGTCAGGTTACCAGTTTTTTTTATTTTTAATTAGTGTGTGCACATGAGTGGTTACAGAGGAAGCCAAAAGAGGGCATGGGATTTTCCCTAGAGCTGGAGTTACAGGTGGTTGTGAGCCACCTGCTGTGGGTGCTAAGAACCGAACTGGGTCCCTCTACAAGAGCAGCAAGTGTTCCTAACTGCTGAGCCATTTCTCCAAACTGACTACCTGTTTTCAAAATAATATTTCAGAGGACTGGAAAGATGGTTCAGCAGTTAAGAGTTAAGGACCAGAATTCAGTTTTCAGCACTCAGCTCACAACTGCCTCTAACTCTAGCTCCAAGGGATCCCATGCCCTCTTTTGGTTTCTGTGGACACCCACACATGTGGCATACTCACATCGAGACACACACACATTCACATAATTTTTAAAAATAAATACAATAGGAGCCGGGCATAGTGGTGCACGCCTTTAATCCCAGCACTTGGGAGGCAGAGGCAGAGGCAGGTGGATCTCTGTGAGTTCAAGGCCAGCCTGGTCTGTATAGTGAGTTCCAGGCCAGGATCTGCAGAGATGGATCAGTGGTTAAGAGCACTTGCTGCTCTTGCAGAGGACTTAAGATTTGGTTCCCGGCACTCACATGACATCTCACAATGATCTGTAACTCCAGGGATCCCCTGCCTGTACTGCACCCACATAGTGCATTTAGCTACCTTCAGGCAAAATGCTCATACATAAAATCTAAAAAAAAAAAAAATTATGCGAAATATAACAATTTAAGTTCTTTCTATTGAGAACTGATAAAGGTTTGAGGAAAAAGAAAAGAGTGACAGTAGAGGGACTTCCTGGACCTTCAAGTTTCCTAAATTTTAATAATTGATCACATTTTAAATTTATTATTATTATTGTGTGTGTGTGCAGGCATCAGTGTACAGAGGTCAGAGGACAACTTTTGGGAGTCAGTTCTCTCCTTTCACCATAGGTACTGGGGATCCAACTCAGATCATCAGGCTTGGTAGCAAGTCCTTTACCTGTTGTACCATCCTGCCAGCCCCTAATTACTTTATTTAACAAGTGGAAGGCAAGGTGCAGATTGCAAATAGCATACAAAGAAATACAGTGAAAGGGGAGGCGGTATTTGCCTATTTGTTTTGTTATTTTTTATTTATTATTTTTTTACTTTTTATGTGTATGGGTGTATTGCCTGCATGCATGTAAGTGCACCTGTGTCATACAATACCTGTGGAGTTCAGAAGAGGTCGCCGAATTCCCCTGGAACTGGAGTTACAGGCGGTTGTTAGCTGCTATTTGGGTGCTCGGAATCAAACCTGGGTCCTCTGCAAAAGCAGCAAGTGCTCTTAACAACTGAGCTATCTCTCAAGTCCCTTGTTTTGGTGTTTTGAGAATGGTCTCACATAGTAGCCCAAACTGACCTAGAACTCCCATTCTATAATGGGCTGGCCTTGAACTTGCAGCAATCCTCCTGCCTCAGCATTCTGAGTGGTGGGATCATAGGTAAGAGCCACCAAGTCCAACTGTTTTGTTTGTTGAGACAGGGTCTTTCTATGTAACTCAGGCTAGCCTCACACTTATGGTGATTTTCCTGCCTCCGTCTCTAGCATACGAGGGTTAAAGATTTGCTGCACCATGGCAATTGAGGAACTATTTTCACTCCTGTCCAAGTAACTGGTTTTCTTCCCTCTTAGAAAACTATCATGAGTATTTTCTTTGGCATTTTCTATAAAAAGTTTCTGCACACACAAGCTAAGTGTGGTCCTACATGCCTGCAATCCCAGCACTTGAGATGCTGAAACAGGAGGATTGTGAGTTTGAGGCCAGCTTAGACTATGATAGCAAGACTCTATTTATTAAAAAAAAAAAAAAAAAGCCATATGTGGTGGTTACACACTTTTAATCCCAGTACTCAGGAGGCAGAGGCAGGAAAATCTCTGTGAATTCAAGGCCAGTCAGGGCTACATAGTGAGACTCTGTATTGGAAAGAAAGAAGAAAGAAGGAAGAAAGAAAGAGAGAGAGGGAGGGAGGGGAGAGGAGGGGAGGGGAGGGGAGGAAGAAAGGAGGAAAGAATGGAAAGAAGAAAGATCTTGGTTGGGGCTACATGGTGGCTAACAACTGCCTGAAACTCCAGTTCCAGGGAATCTGACACCCTCTTCTGACTTCCATGGGCATTGCACAACACAGGTGCACTTACATATGTTCAGGCAATACACTCATACACATATAAAATAAATATTTTTTTAAAAAAGAAAGTATTTCTGCATGTAGGGTCTATATATATATATATACACACACACATATATATATATATACTTTTTCAGTTGTTAATATTTTCCAAGATTTTTTTCCATATAGAACAGTCCTGTTTTCCAATGTATTAATAACTTATTCAACCAGTTCCCTATCAATGGACATTTATAGATTACCTATTAAAGAGGAGTTTTTATGGTTGATTTGTTTTATGGCTATGTGCTAGCTAAAGAAATTATTAAATCAACATCAATCTGGCTTTCCCTCCAGGAAAGTATTTCTATTCCACGCCTTCAAAAAGGAATGTCAGTACTTGTGGATGAGTCAAGCAATGTCCCAGGGGAAATCCCGGGTATACAGTTCTGACTCAGCTGATGCCTCTTTCAGAGAGAAGTTTTGCAAAAGGGCTCTAGCTCTGCAAAGCTGTGTTGTAGAAACGTCTACGTCAGTAAGCAAGCTTCTCCCAGCTCCCTTTCTTATTAAATGCGAGCTAATTCCAACCAGGGGCATGCCTGCAACACTCAGACCTAGGGCAGAGCAACCCTTTCCAGAGAGTTCCACTCCTGTTCGGTGGAATTTAGCGATTTGTCTTCCTTTGTAATTGCAATCAGCACGCCTTGCTAGCGTTCAGGGTCGTTCGCATTTTCCATTGCTCACAGCTGGCTGAAGGCCTGGGGCTCCACTGTGTGCTTCCGCTGCTGAGAAAGAATCCATAAAAGGGATACTAGGGTTAAAGCAAACGTTTGCTTTGGTGCAGAAAAACAAAACAAAATCCCACCAAGACGCAACCATATCAGCAGCTAGAATCTCTAAGCGTTCTATCATATTCCTCCAGCCATGCATTTGTTGAATAAAGGGCAAGAATCTTCGAGAATCAACTTCTGGGGAGAGGAAGAGGGTTCCCAGGGTGGAGGAGTTTCCGTAAGATAGAAAGGAAGGAACCCTCAGAACCCTGGAAACAGCGTGAGTTATGAAAATAGGGTAGCCAGGCTTTGCCTATCCCCCCTCCCATCATGGCTCTGCCTTCAGTTTTACTAGTTTACATTTAGGAAAACTCAGCAAAAGTAGCACTGCGTTCAAAGGAGCTTTGGATCCCAGCTGCGAGAGATCCCAGGGAGACAGTGTTTTGTGAATAATAAACGGTTGGCATGGATGATGTGTCCTCACTTTGGAGAAACCAAGGCCAGCTCTCAGCACATGGCTCACAGCTGCAACGAAAGCATACACTTCCCCCCACTAGCTTTAGACCGTTGTCTTCATGATGTCTCTGAAAAGTGCCTATATTATTTGTACATTTCGCCTCCTCAAAAATTCCTTCTTCTCTTCTTTGAAAGTTAGTATGTCGGAAGCGAAGTGTGGTGACACACATTTGCAATCCCAGGAGTTGGGATGTGGAGGCAGAAGAGTTCAAGGTCATCTTTGGCTACATACCAATGAGTTCAAGGTCAGCCTGGGCTACATGAGATTCCATCTCAATAAAATAAATAAAATAAAATAAAATAAAATAAAATAAAAAATAAAAATAAAATAGATATTGGGACCAGGTGTGGTGGTGCACACATGAAATCCCAGCATTTTCGAGGTCAAGGCAGGAGGACCAGAAATTCAA